AAAAATATGAGAATAACTCTAGTTGATAAAATTCTCAATCATTTTTGCGATAATGAATATTTCCCACTGGCTAACATTTCCAATTCATACGGAACAAATTTTTAAACCAAACCTTCATTACTGACCAATTCGATGATAATTATTATAATGATAGACTTTTTAAGTTGAGTAATACCCACAAACAGATCACTTAAAGTGACCAAATTCTTGAATTGTATCGTTTAAAAACATCTTTAACTATTGATTTTACAAACTAGTTATTTTTTGTATATATACATATCACACGTATGCTGAGTACTTGTGTGTACGTTCATCCCGATCTGCCTGTGGATGATTATACATTCGTCCTGGTAACTCTGGAATTTTTCCTCAAGTTAGCTGGGTCATGAATAGAGGAATAGCTTAGCTTATCATTTTATTGTGTCACTGGTTATACGTTCCGTTTGCTGATATCAAGTTGTACATAAAATATCACAAGCATAGCATGAACCTTGTAGAAATCACTGGATCTTATCGCATTACAAATGGTTATAAGCTACCTACGTAGATAAATCGTATAAAATCACGCACGCACGCACACACACACACACTAAATGAACAAATGAGTTTTGATCTAAGATCATTGCAGTTATCAGAATTTTATATCTTCCTTTTATAATTTTAGTATAGTTTGTTTGATTTATTTATAACCAATTGGAACGTATAAACGTTATCTTCATATCTGTACAAATGTTTAAACACTGATTTTTAACTTTAATTATCCAATAAATTTCCTAATTCTTAATTCCCAAGTCGGTGAACAGCCTCATTCTAGAGTAGAACGACCGTCCAGTATTTACAGATTTGTAATGGTGGTCTAATTATCATCAATTCATGATTAAACCTATGAAAATTCCTCAACATTCATAAGTCCCCCAAAATAATAATAATAATAATAATTATTATTATTATTATTATTATGTGTTTAATAGTGAATAGCTTCAAGTTGTAACTCCTGGAGTTGTAACAAGAAAACATGAACGGTGGAGTTCAATACACATCGGCCATAAGTAAGTTATAAGCGACGGGTGACAACTGCACAATAATGTGCATTAACTGAAACTAGACATGTAAACCAATACATGCCATTTACACGGTTTATATGTCAAATGTTTGTGCGTGAGGCCGAATATCGTCGATTTAACCTCTACATGCAGGGTCTTGGGTGAACGTTACTAAACAGTTTTATACTGTAACGAAACGGTTGTAGATTGTTGCCACGTTTTTAATGGTGATCTAGCCAAGATATGTTTGTGATCAGTTAAAGACAAAACTAAAATCTCTACAAATCTCTTTACAGTAGTAAATTTATTTATATTCACATTTACTTATTTACTTTCACTTGTCACCTACCATGAAACATAGGCTGCTGACTGGAGTTGTCAAGTCAACTCTGTCCTGGAATTTTTATCTCAGTTTCTGTAAAGTGCTATTCATTCTGTTCATGTTTGCGTCGAATTTCTGAAAAAAATATGTTCTTTGATCTATCTCTTTTCTTTTCTCTTTGAAAAGTTTAAGTTAGGTTTTGTCTTCTTAAATAGTTTGATGATTTCCTCTTCAGATGGATGATCATTTGTTCTCTACCCCAGAAAGTTATTGTCAATGGTGTCTGGCCGACGGATCTACAGTATCTTGCGTAGACAGCCAATAACAAATACTTGATTTTTGAATGATGGTTTTTGTAGTTCAGATACAATGGAACAATTGTTTCTACATTTATGATGAAAATTCTGACGTCGGCATTGATTGACATACAGCTGTTTTAAGCTCCTGAAGTTCTTCAGTTGTAAAATAGCTGCCCTTACTTAACTATTCCATGTCTTTACATCAGCATAAAATCTAGCTTGTTTATCACTTATATCCACTAGAAATGCATATCTACAACCCCACAATGGAGAAATCGAACCCTAGACCTTCGGTCTCGTACGCGAACGTCTAATCTACAGAGCATTAATTCAACAACCAACGATTTTAATGCTTAATCGGGCTGAGATCCAATAATGTACATGTCCAACTTCAATCGATCCACCTCATTACGTAACCATCATCTATTGTCTACAGGGAGTAACTGCCTCATACCTGAAACAGTTGAATCCTACTCGTCAAGGTTTCTTACTAGAACACTGAGAATTCTTTCACAAAACTAACCATTATTGAGCATACATAATAAATGTCAGTACATAGTTGAGGATTTCATTATTTAGTGAATTTAACATTCTAACAATGACAATTTCTTTTCATTTTTTTTAACATTAGGTTCTGGACTGTACCTTTATGGATTATATTAAGTATAAATTATATTTATAATTGGTATATTGAAACATTAATTCGTGTTCTCGATGAATTAATTCATTTTATTGGATTTATTGTTATGATGGTAAGAAGATTATTGAGTTCAGCCAATCATTTTATATGTGTATATTGTATTACTCTAAAAATATCACATGACAAACAAACAAAGCGCCAATTAGAATATGATTACATTTTAATGAACTCTAGTTCTTATTGGTTGATAATTTCCTTCATGACTGTCCCGTTGAGTTCATAACACAGCCTACATTAATCTACTAGAGAATTAAAAACCTATTTGAAGCACACTTAATCACATCACACACAACATTATTTAATAATTATAAACAGTATGATTATTTAATTTGATAGACAATAAAGGTTAACGTTATTTTGAATCCGTAAGTTGTAACATTATATAGATTCATATAATTCAACTTACAAATCGAAGATTACTGAACCATTACTTCATCCTAATACGAGACTTTTCAGCAGTGTCCATCCATGACACGTTTTATAAAGAACCTTCAGTTAGTGAAATTCCTTTCAAACCATTTGTTTAGAAAATGATTTTGAACTTCATACATTATTTTAGACCACTATTAAAAACCTGGAAGCACTAGACGGCTGTTTCGTCTTGGTATATGACTCATCAGCAGTGTCCATCCGTCGGATGCCGGCTCATTAGTCTAGAAGTTAAGCATCCGAGTGCATGACTGAAGTTCCCGAGTTTGATTCCTGCTATAGAAGCGGGAGTCATGGATGACCCTTGCTGAAGAGTCCCATATCAAGACGTAAACGTCGTCTTTCAGTGCTTCCAGGTTTCTAATGGTGATCTAACATTGATCGATTCATGATTGCAATAACATTCGACAATCTTCACAACTCTATAAGGTGAATAAATCTAGCTGTACTAAACACGGCATAGTTTTCGGTTGTTTTTTTAATAAAACATTATTGATTATTTAATAATTATAAACTCCTGTCCGGATGTATACAGGGTATGAGGTTGCGCAACTCCGTGAATTTTATCAAGTTAGACATTAACACCGTTAGATACCTGCTCAGTGGTCTAACGATTAGGGCGTTCGCACACAGTACCGAAGGTCCTCGGTTCGAATCCTGCGGGGTGCAGGAGTCGTGGATGCGCACTGCTGATGAGTCCCATGCCTGGGCGAAACGGCCGTCCAGTGCTTCCAGGTTTCTAATGGTTGTCTAAAATTGATCGATTCATGGTTACAAATAAAATTTAACAATCTTCACAACAACCCCGCAATGCAGTTTGATTATTTATTTTAAAGACAATAAATAAGTTGCATCATTTTACAGATTTATACAATTCAATGGATCATTAAGCATGAAAAACTAGTGAACTACTGTTTCAGCTTAATATGAGACGTTTCAACAGTGTCCATTCATGATAATTCTAATAAAAAATCTTCAACTAGTGAAATATCTTCAAATCACTAGTTTCAAAAATGATTTTGAACTTCATACATTATTTTCAACCACTATTAGAAACCTGGATGAACTGGACGACTGTTTCGTCCTGGTATAGGACTCATCAGCAGTGTGCATCCATAACCCTAGCCTGTAGTTGCAACCCAGGACCGTCGGTCTCACTTGCAAACGTTTCATCTCTGGACCGATGAGCTAAAATTTAGTTTACCTATTAACATTAATATCTTTATATAATTATGAGTGTATGAAACAAACATATAATATTAGTTTTCATCAATGAATTGTTGTTAGCTACAGAACAAAGAAAAGTTATGATATAGAATAGATGGAATATGGTCAACAACTGAACTCGATGTACCTGCATCATTGTAGAAGCACAACTATCATGCTAGTTAGATTTCGACAAAGGTGGTTGGATTTATTCTGTAAGAAACTATAAGTAACCTACTTTTCATTTTGTTGACGACTGTGTGTGATGTGTACCCTCATACTTAGACGAGATGGCTTTCCCTGTAACTAAATTGTAATAGAATTCCCTTCAGGAATATGGAGTAGACAAACATGACATTAACCAATTATTACTTAACAATCAATCTATATGAATAATTAAATGCCAAATACCTAACATTACTTCATTTATTATTTGAATATTTAACATTGGATATTTTGTAACATTGGATATTTTGGACTGCAATCGATCCAATCTGTTTTAATTTATTGAAATCGAAAAATCAATCAATGTTAGACTATCATTAGAAACCTCCAGGCACTGGATAGCTGTTTCGTTCTAGTATTGGACTCCTCAGTGGGAGTGCATATTGATGAGCTGCGTATGCGGGAATCTAACTCAGAACTAATAGTTTGGGGCGCAAACGACTACTCAGCCAGCATCCAATCGTGTCTAACTTCAATCGATCCAAGGTATTACGCAACCTCGCATCGAATACTGTTTGTCAATATATTTCCTTGTTGTGGACGTTAGATCCCCAGAACGAACTTGATAAAAATCTTGATTTTGGATTTTATGTTTTCGAGCATGGGCTGATCGGTTGACCTGGACCTACCGACCAGGAAAATCTTTGACTGTCATTGGTCGATGTGTCATTTTAGTACGCCATTTTTGTGGCTCTCCCAAGGACGTTCGAACGATCTATAAATAAGCCCCATATATTCTGGGTGCTTGTAGAGTACACTTTCTACGCCATATCAAGACTTTTTCCACTACTTAGTGGGGTCTTAGGATGCTCAGATGAGAGTAGCCTATCATGTCACTGGATCATTTGCCTTCGCTCTTGTTTACCGTAATAGCAGTCAATCATATCAATTGATGAGCATAATATTCCTACGAATAAATTTCTTTATTCTACTTGTTCATATATATATATATATATATATATATATATATATATATATATATATATATATATATATATATATATATATATATATATATATATATATATATATATACATCAAATTTAAATTCTTTTTCAGGTTTACTTAAGACCAGATAAAACAAACATTATATTTCCTTATCATACTAGTACAATTTCAACGACAATTTCATCTAGACAACAAGATAACAATAATAATAATAATAATAATAATAATAATAATAATGATACATGCAAAACAAAATTAGTTAGTGAATCTGTTGGCAGTACATCAACAACTACAAAGTCATCACAATTATCATCTAAAACTCAATCGAAAAGTAGCCTAGAACAAACAGATAACAATAGCGATAAACTGACCAATAAGAAAATGTTACCATCACAATCACAACCACAACCACCGAAACGACCAAATCCACCAAGATTATTTAATTTAACCGGGAAACCAGGTGATCTACCAGCTCCTATTTCTATTATGACTAGTGGTTTAACTGAATTGCATAAAAAATCACCAATACATTCACCGAAACGTCCACAAACTACACCAAATTTAAGCAATGATTTTAATAGTCCACGTTTCCCACCAATTGATAAAGCTGGTTCGTCGATCCATTAAATCATGTGTCCATTATCAATCTGATTAGAATGTTGTTTGTTTTTTCCCATTTAAAATAAACAATACATTTACTAGTTGTTATTAGTATAATTTCTCATATATATTCTATTCATGTTTTTCCATACTTTTTCAATGGTAGTATTCATTGATTAGGAGTTCAAAATTTTGAATTATTTAGAATTCTCTTGGGTTAAATGTGTGTGTGTGTGTGATTGACTTGACCTTGCTGACAATCTCAACTGTAAATGACCTGATATGTGAACATCTGAGTAGAAATATATTCATAGGAATCTTAATCGGGTAGACAGTCGGTTCGACTCAAATTTTTTTATATGGGTAAATATATATGAATTACAAGAAATAGAACTCCGCCTGTAGATCCTTCGGTGCTAATACCGGTCCCAAGCACGGAGGAGAGTTGGGCATGGAGTTGAAACAGAACTGGAAAGGTAAGCTCAGGACAGAGTTGGTCGGAGAAAACTGGTCGGCGGCCTATGCTCCAGGTAACAGGCGTAAGTAAGTAAGTAAGTAAGTATAAGAAACACAATCTGAAGTTAATTCATTTGTAAAAATTTGAAATTATTAAAGAGCCCCATTGTGAAAATTAGAACAATATTGTTTTCAGTTCGATCGTTATTCGGCTTTTTACTCTCTAATATACATGAATATTTATGTTGAAAATAGATTACGTCATTACAGATAATAGGCAAAAGTACAAGTTGATAGTAGTAAGACAAGTGTACTGTTAGTAGTGGTAAGAAAAATAAAATACGATAACAGAAGTTCTAGTCAATAGTTCAACAATGCATATAGTAGGTCAAACATGGATAAACAGACTTGAAATAATCATTATAAAACATTAAAACCATTACTGAATAAGAAGTGCGTACATAATTGGATAGTGAAGAAGAATATAAATGGGAAGAGGCAGAAAAATTACAAACAAATACAGGATCAGAAAATACTCCTAATAATAAGAAAATAAGATTTAAAAAATGTTAAAACTTTGGTTAAGTTGCATCCGGCCACGGAAGAGATAAGGGTGTCATGAATTTCTTCTAAACACATAAATTGAGTTTGAATGCTGGGTGTTCACTTATTCGTTGATTAAGTTGAACGGTAGTACGTACGATCTGCACAGGAGCAGCTGAATTTGTAAATGAAACTAGAGGAGGCCAACTCAGGTAACTTATCCTTCGTTTGGGTAGACATCGCTGGTCAACTTGAGAATGTCAACGCAAGTTTGGTAGCGTAGAATGTTCTACTAATTGCTTTCGTTAATCTGTCCAGCAGAGCATCGCAGGCCACATCTCCGTTGCATTGTAGTTTAGTAAATAAAGACTTCTTTCAAGCAGTCAAAGTCTCCGACTTCTTTTTTACATTAAACACATACTTCCTAATGAATGCGCTAGGGTAGCCGATTTCGATATATTAGAGTAAAGCCTAATGACAATCTAATCGAAAACAATATTGTTCGCTTATGTGTTGTTCTGAATTTTACAATGGGAATCTTTAATATCTAATAAGTCAAACCAAAGCTTGTCATTAAAAGAATTTAAAAACCACATAAACTATTTATCGATTGGATACAGTAGACAGCTAAGATGCAGCTGGATGATCTAGACTTCAAAGATGATCTGGCTCTTCTATGAAAACAAATACAAGATAAGACAACCAGGGTATCAGCAGCCTAAACACCAGTAGGTCTCAACATACATAAAAGGGAAAATAAAGATTCTCCGTAACATCAACACAACATGCAAAAACCAAGTCACACTCCATGGAATAGCATTGGAAGATCTGGAAACTTTTACATATCTGGATAGCATCATATTTATACTGTCAACTTTTACGTGACTGTGATTTTTCTGTAAAAAATGAAAAGTTGTCATTCCAATTCTAGTTAAATCTTTCTTAAACTAATACTTTTATCAAAATTAAACTATATACATCAATCATTCTTATAAACGCTGATGCTATAATTTCTAATGGTGTAGAATCACCAGAAGGTGAAACGAATGCCAAAATCGAATCGTTTGCATCAGCAGTGCGGGGTGATAAAGGAATTTGAGAGGAGTTATTCGTGGAGATAAGAGATTTTAGGAGGTGTAGGAACGATTTAATTGTGACCAATTTGGTCTCATGTGTTGGTACGGGTATGAGAGCGGATGTCACTTCGCGGCTGCCCACACCGTGGAAGGGTGTCTCTTGAGGAACCTGAAAAGGAAAGTAGACTAGTGTTGGTCTTAACGTCCTAGGAGCATGACCGTAGAGACTAAAGGACAACTACTTCAGGTCGGTTACGCACAGCATCTTTTATGAGAAGTTTTTGAAGTGTTAGCTCTGTTCTTGTTTAAAAGGCCTTACCACCGAAGACCGAAATCCGTGAGGTAAGGTGAAGTGTGACAGTTTTAGTGTCGACCTTGTGAGAAGGGAGCACCGCTGCAGATGCTGGTTGTCCGACGGAAACCACTTACTGCTTGTTGGGGATGTTAGATCCCCAAAACTCGCTTGATAAATGCCTTATTTTGGTTTTCACGTTTGCCAGCATGGGCTGATCTGTTGACCTTGAGATTTCATTTCCCACCATGAAAATCCATGGCTGTGATTGGCTGCTGTGTATTTTAGTGTGCTATTTTCTTAACTGTCTCAAGGACGTTTCTATGATGTATAAATGAACGAGAGTTGTATGCTTGATTGTACTGTGATTGCTGAGTGTTTGTAGAATATACTTTCTACGCTTACAAAGCCTTCTTACTTCAGCTTGGGTTTAAAGGTAGCCTACCTGGACGCTGGTAACTGTCTAGTTCGCGTTTATCGACTAAGTGACGAACATAATACTGCTGTCACATCCCTCTGCAGTCAGCAGTGCGACTTCGCCCTCAGACCTTGGGTAGCTGCTTTTAGTTCGTTCTCCAACAGGCCTGCCTGGCATGGTAGAACCTTCAGGAACATATGTTCCAGCCAGTATAGCTCGGTTGGGTCATCATGATAGGCAAGCCCGACCACCACATTAAGGTAACAGCTACGGTCGAGAACCTCTGTGTTTTTCATCGTTTATTTTTTGAAGAAAAATTTGAATTCATCCAAAAACTACAGAGAGATATAACAGAACAACAATAAAAAAAACAATAGATATGTACAAACACCTTTTTCGAAAGAATCCTGTAAACAGAACAGAAATGCAGAAACCAAATTTTAAAAAAAATTGAAATTCCTGCAGAATAAAATCCAAAAAGAGCTTTTTATGTACAACGCCGAAGCAAAATAGTCAAAGATTCGTGATAAAAATACATGCAAATATGTATATACATCAAACAGATGCTTTCGATTCTTGAAAATACAAAAATAGAAATCAACAGTAGCTCCTCTATTAGAGTGTATGTAGACATATATATATATATATAATACTTAGATTATTACATTCATAGAGAGAGAGAGAGAAGGAGACAATTTTGTCAGTCAACCAGAGCTACAACGTAGAACTTCGTACGTACCGACGTACGTACGTAGGTACGCACTAACGTGGATACATCAGTCCCAGTTGGCGTAATACCACATTAGAACACACACAGTAGTAGTATTAGTATTAGTAGTAGTAGTAGCAGTAGTAGTATTAGAGTTAGTGGAAGTATTAGCGGTAATTAAAAATAAATAAATCAATAAAGATTACGGAAATCTAATCCGAGAGAGAGAGTGAGAGTTTGACACACTGAAAGAAAGATTTCATGAATATGTACAATGTATGCGCATATATATATATATATATATATATATATATATATATATATATATATATATAATCCATCCGATACATGATTATTCATTTGATTTATTTGTTCATTCATTGAGTCCATTTCAAAATCAACTATTTCTCTTTTCCATAATGGATTCTAAAGGATATTGACCAGAGAGAATTTCATTGGTTTGAAAAAATGCTTGTTTAATTTGTGATACAATATCATCAGAGTGTACTGATCGTGCAACGTTTGTTTGCGAGAATGGTTCTAGAATATTTTTGATTGGTTTGTTTGTTTGTTTTTTAGAAGAAGAAGAGAAAAACAAAACACAGTAATAGAGTACTCATTAAAATGTAAAAAAATTTACATTTGTAATATAAGAATTACGAAAATTATTTATTATTATTATTATTATTATTATTATTATTATTATTATTATTAATTGTGATAACATGAACAGACATGGATAGTGTGGCTGGTTATTTTATCATAGGATCTAAGATGAGGCATTTTGTCCTATTTGTAAGTCGTCAGCTGGATATGTACCTGCTACAGGAAGGATTTCATTATGACCAATTCGGTCTTGTGTGCTGTTACGGGTATAAGGGCGGTTGTCACTTCCCGGGTGCCCACACCGTGGAAGGTTGATATTCTTGAGGAACCTGAAAAGGAAGGTAGATTAGAGTTGGTCTTAGAGACCTGGGAGAGTGACCGCAAAGTCCAAGGGACAACTGCTTGAGGCCGGTCACGCACGACCCTTTGATGAAAGGTTTTTTGAGTATTAACTCCACTCTTAAAGGCCCTTAGTGGGCACCCTTACCCAAGGAGACGGAAATCCGTGAGGTAGGGGAGGTGTGAAATTTTTAGCGCCGACCTTTTCTAACCCTTCCTTCTTCATGAGAAGGCAGCATTGCTGTTTGTGCTGGTTGTCCGAGGGAAACACCTTACTGCTGTCACACCCCTCTGCAGTCAGCAGTAAGACATCGCCCTCAGACCTTGAGTAGCTGTTTTTAGTCTCATCGTTCTCCAATCGACCTGCCTGGCTTGGTAGAACCTTCAGGAACATATGTTCCAGCCAGTATAGCTCGGCTGGGTCATCACGATAGTCAAGCCCGACCACCACCACAAGGTAGCAGCTTCGGTCGGGATGTACCTGCTACATCCTAGGGTGAACGCTCACTTTGACACTCGAATATCAGTACCGTTCGATTGAAATATCCTTGAGTTATTCGCTTCGTTCAGTGAGAATATCGAAGTCATTCTGCACAGGATTAATTAAACTAAATAAGTTTACAATAAGATGGTGGAGAAAATTTGTAGCTCAGGTAGATTATTGTAGTGGTGTTTCGTTCTCTGAGCTAGATATTTTGGTTGTGAAGCTTTCATTGTTCTTCTGATCAACATCATCAGCACAAACTTCAGATAGAAGTGAAGTATTCGAATTTCTCCACGTTTTATCTGTAGCTTGTTCTGCTAACCTCGATCTTGATTGGTTGCTGTTGACCTTAAACCTGTCGTTGTTTGCAGCCTTATTTTGACTGTATCCCCCTTTTGATCAGTTTCTTGATCCTAGGTCACCTATGATTCTCCTGATCAGTTGATAAATTGGGTCAATGTCGATTTGCTTGTTGATTGCTGATTGACCTGAGTGCCAATCTTTTAAAAATTGCCTAGTGTTCTTTGTCCTCCCCCTACCCAGTATTTCCACATTGTTCCAATCGAATGTGTGTCCATAATTGTCGGTGTGTATTGATATAAGCGAAGCGTTGTCGTGGCGTTTGACTGCTAATTGGTGTTCACGAAAACGAAGCTGCACAACCAAAACATCCAGCTCAGAGAAGCAAACACCACCACCACAAGTTTACAATAAGTTTGTGATGAAGTTTCGTTCGTTGAGCTGGGTGTTTTGGTTGTGAAGCTTTTATTATTACTGTTCTTCTTTTGAACAGTAACATCATCATCATCAGCAGCATAAACTTCAGAGAGAAGAAGTGAAGTATTTGAATTTCTACACATGTATGACTTGTAGCTTGCTCTGTTTCTATTCTTCTTCACTATTCTAATTATGTACACACTTCTTATTACGTAATGATTATTAATGTTTTGTGATGATTATTTCAAGTCTATTTATCCACGTTTCACCTACTACTACTACTACTTCTATAATGTTGAACTTTTTGACTAGAACTTTTGTTATCGTATTTGATTTTTCTTATTACTACTATCAGTACACCTGTCTTGTTCCACTATCGACTTGTACTTCTCCATCTATTATGTGTGTAGTGACGTAATCTCTAATTCATTTGATTGTGATTATTGACTCACAAATTGCCTTCTTCTGGTTTAACATTTTGCAACATAAATATTCATGTATATTAGAGAATATAAAGCCTGATGATGATCTAATCGAAAACAACAATCATTGTTCACTTATAATCTGTGTTGTTCTAATTTTCACAATGGGAATCTTTATCATTCTCAAAATGATTAGTAATATATATATATATATATATATATATATATATATATATATATATATATATATACATGCATCAAGTGAACGTACAAACAAATCATCATTTACCTTCAATGAAAATTTTACAATTGCGAAACTTCGAACCGAATTGACCTTGTTCATGAGATGGTACATTTTTCATAGCTACATTTTTCTTCAATAATGATTTTGTACAACAACGTATTGAAATAGCCGATTTAGTAAAATCAAATGTATTTGTATAATAATCAATAAATCCGGTGAATAATTCTGCTAAACTTAATGAATTCTTTGATTGTAATTCATGCCATGGAAGTTGACAATTCATGTCTAATTCACATGGTTCGCTAGTGTAGTGAAATAATTTCTGTGAAAAATCAATCAATGAATAAGTCAAGTTTTAAATAATCAATAAAAATGAATGATTCATAAGGAACACTTATGAAGCATAACGTATACAAATTAACACCATTATGTTTGATTGACTCCGCTTAGAGAGAGGTCCTCTCTTTTGAGCTACTGCCGGTCCCAAGGCCGGATGAGGGGGGAGGGTCGGGTGTATGGGGTTAGCGACCCCATCTCGTAGAAATCCGACTCGCTTAAAAAAAACGCTATCCAAAACAAATAATTCACTGATCGGTGACCTGTGCTTCACATTAGGGTCGGTCGAAAATGCCTGCATTCTCATGATGATGCTGCTTATTCATATTAATAGTGAAATCCAGTTTCTTCGTTACTTCAAACATTCAATCTATTGAGTTCAAACAGTGACCAACTTATTATTCAATACGTATGATATTTACACTATTATTATGAATCATATTGATTGATTTATTTGTTTTATTTAAGCACATAAACATTGGTACTACGTATTACGTAAATATTTAAGCACCATATAAATTATTGAATTGAGCAGTGGGTTAAGATGCTGCCCGGATGAAACATAAACCAAAGCGAATGGCTATCTTAGAGGAACACAACGCCAGCCTCCCACTTAAAATTATAATTTACAAAGCAGTGAAACAATGTCCACAGATGCAGTACTATCGTAACCGATCAGCCAACAATAAGTCTACAGTACACAACATTTGTTCAGTCAGGCCCATGTGTACCACTGGTTTGAAGTCAGGGATTTATAACTCCTCTAAGTGGATGCTTTGTATTCATCAAACCAGTGTCAAAGCACCAAACATTCGCTTTCTGTCCTCTTGATTTTGTAAACAACACTCTGGCCATAAGAAGGCATTGAGTAGTACTTCTCTGGCATTGGCTATGTACTCATGAATATGTGAGAGTATCTCGACCGTACCAGAGCATTTGGAGGTGGATAATTATTGCAAGCATTAAAATTATCGAACTGTCGATGTATCAGGTATCTCTCAGAATAAATAATTATGAACATTCTCATTCCGATTAGACCTAATATCTCTCTCTCTATTTAATCACTGATTTCGATCATTGTATGAGGTTCCGACAACCAGGCAATCTGCAACTACTAATATGCTACAATTCAAATATAATCAATAAGTTTGTAGACTGATGTTATGCTTTAGTTTGGTGACCCTATCCTCCTTAGGAACTCCGCCCGGAGCCCTTCTGGAGTTACTGTCGATCTCGAGTCCGGGTAGATGAGGAGATTCGGGCACTGACTGGATTAGCGACCCCATCCCGTAAAACTCGAACTCGCTAAAAAAAACGCTAGCTAGAAAAAACAGTCCGCTGGTCAGCGGCCTATGCCCCAATTGGGGTAACAGGCGTAAGTAAGTAAGTAAGTGGGTGAGTAATCCCCTTTAGGGTTGCTTCTTCTAACTAACTCTTACAGCAATAATCATACTTTCACACAAATATGGTTGTCTTGTGTAATTTTTTGGTTAATCTAATAAAATACAAAATTGTAAAGCATAGACACAATTATGCATACACACACATACTGGGAATTTTTCTTGTAAATTCGGCAGAACAGGTGGATCACAGGCAGTTTGAAGATAATGAATAAGCATTAGAATTAAACAGTAAGAAGATAGACGACCATATTGAGCATTATGAATATTCCAACATTGAGCCCAATATTTTATAAAAATTCCCAATGGTCTAACACGCCAATCAACTGAAAATGTACAAAATGATAATACTAATAATAATAATAATAATAATAATAATAGTAATAATAAAGAAAACAGATTAACAAATCGGAAACTTGTGCATAATCTAGGCAGCGTCATTGATAAACAAGTTGGATATGACGCAGATGTACGGATTGGTAAAGCAAGAGCAGCATTTTTAGAATTGAAAAACGTCTGGAACTCGCAAAAACTATCAACCAACACCAAAGTCACAATTTTCAATAAGAACGTCAAGACATACTGTATAGGGCGAGAACTACAAAAGCCATCATACACAAGACACTGGTGTTTAGTAACAGTTGTCAGCGCAAAATACTGTGGACCCGTTGGTCAGACACCATCAGTTAACAACCTCGTGTGGAGGTAAGCGAACCAGATTCCTCCAGATGAGCAAGAAATCAGGAAGAATCGCTGGAAGTGGATATGAAATGCATAGAAGAAACCATCGAACTGAATCACAAGACAAGTCCTCACTTGGAATCTTCAAGGCCAAAGAAAAAGAGGAAGACTAGAGAACACATTACGTCGAGAATCGGAAGCAGACGTAAAAAGAATGGATAGAACTAGAAACGAAGGTCTAGGACAGAGTAGGTTGGAGAATGCTGCTTGGCGGTCTATGCTCCATTGGGGATAACAGACTTAAGTATGTAAGTTAGTTAGCATTCATATTGTTTCAGTGTTTTTTTTATAGAAGTGAAGATAGAAACTTATGATTCACAATGAAATATACATAAAATGAAACAGTCATTATTATGATCTAGATTTTTTGGCTAATGAATTAAACATCATACTCTCAATTGTTTCAAATTTATAACCCTTTCAGATTTAGACAAATAATTGAAAGAAATGAGACTTTTAAAATTGTCCAATGTAGAATTGTATAATCTCTATTACTACATACTTTTATGTGCTGGATGCTTCTCACGAGCATGCAGCGGAACGTCACCTAGGACTTGCTACTAGAGAGAGGATCATCTGGAGATCGAACTACATGATGCGGTGGAGTACACTGAAGACCAGAAGAGATGTGAGAGGCGAAGACAGTCAACAAAATGTTTGGGTTTCAAATGGATATCTGCACAATATGTATGCATATTTTGTAAATAAATTAAAACTTCTCCCAGTAAATATATTTTATCTCGTTTTGAATTTTTTACTAAACTACTCTTGAATTATGGAACTTTGTTGTTCTTCTAAATGTGTAGGCTTTCATTTGATTCAATTTTCCGTTTTAATTCCTATATATATATACCTGTACAGCGTTTTAGAGATTGGGTATACATTTCTCCGGAAAGAGAACCCTTCGCTGAATTTCAGGTTTTCAATGACTAATTCACCCAAAATCGCCTGCAAGACCAGTGACCATCTAAGCTGCCGATGAACAGTAACCGAAACTTTAACACCTATCGGCCTTCCAGTTCTTTTCAACCTCGAGTCATTAGCCAACTCAGTAATCAAGTAACTCAGACAAGCGACAAAAATACAACGCATTATTGTATTCTCATAGTTTCAATCACTGATCGATCTTAGTTAGGAAACCAATGAAATCTAGAATGCACTGGATACCTGCTTCGTCCTAGTATAGGACTCCTTAGTAGTGAGCATTAATAATTTAGAATCAGAGAAATGAAACTAGAACATATTGTCTCGCATGCGAACGCCTAACTATTAGATCGCTGCACCGACATCTAATGGTATAACTTCGATCAATGCATGATATTGTGTAACTCTCATCGATTACCTATGATGGATATATAACTGTCTCACATCCGACATTATTAAACTTCACTGGTCACAGCTTCTTACAACACAACTTCAATTGAATATGGATATTTGCTTCAATAGACCCTGTCCACGCCATCAAACGCTCTCTCATAGTCAATGAAGTTGATGTACTATGGTGAATCCCCCATTGAATCGATTGTTCCACAAAGATCCGTAGTGTCACGATTTGGTCCGTACACGATCGATCCTTACGAAATCCAGCCTGTTGGTCTCGAAGTCGGACGTCTACTTAACCTTCCATTCTGTTTAAGAACACTCTGTTGACGACTTTCCCTGATACTTGATAGTAAAGTGATGCCTTTGCAGTTCTCACACTTGCTCAGATCTCCTTTCTTGGTTATCTTGATTAGGTGTCCTTCTTTCCAGTCTGTTGATGCTTGTTCTTCTTCCCAAATCTGGCTGAGCTAAACAGGCTATGCAACATCTTTGAAGTTACTGTTATGTTTACTTTCTGGTCCTGCTGCTTTGCCGCTCAGTGAATCTATACGCATGGCGTATGAGAACATTTTATGAGACAATGGGCGCACTTTCCCCACACTCTCGACCGTATCGAGCCGGTAAAATTTTAACAGTAAACAAAAAAAACACTAAAAAAATATCAAATCTATTTTACAAATAACATTAGTATTCCATGAATTTACTTACTTTTTGCATACATAGCTAATAAATGTGTATTATATAATCCAATAACATTATTAACATTTAAATCACAATCCACACTGGAATATTTATCACGAAATTTGATAATTGGAACTTTAGCATGAATCATTGAGAAATTATGAAGGAAACCTGATGAAAAAAAAAAAACATGATCATTAAAATAATTTGCTAAAAGTTTTCGATAAGATTTATATAGTAAAAACTTTCTTTTGATAGAAAAATACAATGTATATCATTGTAATTAACGTGATAAATATTAAACCATAATAATGCAATCGACCAATCAGGACGACACAAGTGATTCTTGAATTTATGCGGGATTTTTAAAATGCAATTACGGGGAGCCTACTTTTCGATATTTATCTTTTTGATATTTTACTTTACAGCTAATTTGGATGAAAACATGAGTATTGGTTTAGTTATAGTGAAAAATAGAAAATGAATTTAGAGGGACAAACATAATTGTCCTGAAGAACGAATACGCATCGTTGGTCAAGCAATGGGGATGGAATATATAGATATGATGAGTAGACTTTGACCTCCACTTTGCCTCATCGCTTAATTAGCCACTTTGAGTTAGGGTTAGCATGTGTTGACGTTTAGATCTTGGATACCACCTAGCATAACAAATATTATAAACCACATGTGTAATAATTACACCATAGAAATATATACCTAATGTAGTGAAGGAGAACACAGGTGAGGGCAACCGAATTGTATTTAACGAAAATTACAGAGTTACTCAGTAAAATAGGAAAACCATATCGTAACCCTTAATTTGCAAATCTTCAATCCATCATCAATCCATTGTCTGACATTTCACTATTCATGCGTTTCATACAAATTCCATTGTGTTCCCACTCTTCCTTTCTTGATCTTCCCCCATCTTCTGCTGCCAGACATTACGTTTACACTCGCGTCATATACTACTTATAAGTAGCGCGCACCACACTAATAGTTCTATAAAGATAGTTTCGCAAATTACAGCTTTCTCAACATTTATCCCGTTGTAACAAATACAAATTGAAAAAATCACTGAAAATTGAATGGGTAGATGTGAAGTGTTCGCTTGAGAGACCAAAGGTCCAGGGTTCGATTACTACTACAGATGACGTGGATGCGCAATGTCATTGATGAGTCCCACACTAAGACGAAACAATACTCTAGTGCTTCCAGGTGCCCAATGGTAGTCTAAAATTGATCAGTTCATGATTTCAATGAATAAAACTTACAGTGAATGAATGAATTGAACTTGAATACATTCACAGTTAACTAAAATGAAAATCGTCTTAGATCAACATTAGAATCGATATTTTTCATCATATCCTATATTTGTGTCGGTTAGTCAGCTACAATTTAGAACTTGGTACGCACGTACATCAGTTCAAGTTGTCATACCCAGAACCCTCTTCCTAACACCAGCGTTACTTGTCCGGTGGCTCCAAAAGATACAAGCAATGCTTCGAAGACACATATCACTGAATACTAGTAGCCTACGAATATGCTCCCCTTTTACTGGCCATGTTTCACATTCGTAAAGTAGGACGAAGCAAAATGCTGCGCAGGAGACTCATCTTTAGATTAGTAAACAAATATCTCGCCTACGCCATAAGCGATGCAAGTTGGTAAAACCAGTCGAGCCTTCTGTATCCGTGATGAGATTTTGTCAGTAGCTAGGCCTTCAGGACTGATGAGACTCCCAAAATAAGTGAAGCGGTCAACAAGTTCAATTACTTCACTCACTATCATTAATTCAGGTGCCTATACAAGCCAATCCTGAAGCAATATTGTATTTGGGAGATATTACGTGCTCTTTATAAACACAGGAAACTTATGAATCAATGATCTAAAATATTAAATCTAGCTTACTAACCACATTAGAAAATATGACTAGTGCAGCTATGAAACTAGCGACAACAACACTGATGATGAATATTACAGTATACGCAATTGTCCTGTTTTGTTTTCTGTTGATGAGACCCAGTAAAGACAACATATGAGCTTTAACTCCACCCTTTACTCAGCCGTTATAGCTAATAAACATACGCCAGTTAACTAGAAGAATAAAATATAGATTATTATTTACTAGGTGAGCTAATAATTAAAATAAAAAGGATATTTCCGAAGTATGTTTGTTCACTGATTATGTTATAAACATTTTGACCACCGAGTTAGCAATGCTGTTATTGGGAAGTGGGTGCTAGGTAAGGATGGTAGACGACGTAGTGAAACTTGGTCAGTTGAGGTGGTTGGGACATGTGTTGCGTATGCCTAACCACTGACTGCCTCGACGAGCTGTCTTGAGATGTAGGAATAGGCTGGAAGAAAGTTAGGGGCGGCCAGACCAAAACATGGAAGAAATCCATGAAATCGCTGACAAGTGGACTGAGTCATGTCCGTAGATGTAGGCTACCTGGTTGGCGCCCGTGGGATCATAGTACTCTGAATGACATGGCTCAAAATCGTTTGCAATGGCGTAAGCACATCCGTTGTTTGTGTTTTCTCAAACTCTAATCTTCTGGATTCCTTATGAGCTTCATCTTTCTGATCACTGCTTATGCTTCTACTGTTTCTACTACTATGGAATTTGAATTGATAACTTCATCGCTCTGTGCTAATGTGATAAAGGCAACTTGAACTGATGTACCGACGTACCAAGTTTTACATTGTAGCTGACCGACTAACTCGCAAAAATAACAACCTATCTTCATTGTGAAAGTATTATCAAATACTTTAGGGTTAGATATCAAAGTTAATATTACGGTTTAAGATTAGAATTTGGTATTACGTTATGCAGCTTAATATTAAAGGCTGTGATTCAGGATTAAGACTGACGTACTACAATTAGTCTACACGCAAGCTAGATCTTAACACTAACCGTAACTTAGTCTGCGGTCAGTGACTTCATGGATTTCTGCCATGTTTTGGTCTGACCGCCACCAGCTTGCTTCCAGCCTATTCTTACATCTCAAGACAGCTCGTCGAGGCAGTCATTGGTTAGGCATACGCAACACATGTCCCAAACACCTCAACTGATGACGTTTCACCACGTCATCTATTAATCTGCCACCCTTATCTAGGACCCATTTCCTAACAACAGCATTGCTTACTAGGTTGTCCAAGGATACACGAGGAATGCTTCTACGACATCTATGATCGAATACCAATAACCCACGAATATCTTCTACTCTGACTGGCCATGTTTCGCATACATAGCCAGTAAAGTAATAAAGAGGGAGAGAGAAAATACGTCTACTGTATTTGTGGCGCGATCAACAAGGTTATAGTACACAATCCAAGAATATATATTTCTTCTTTTTCTCAATGCATCAAAATCAAGGTTGGAAAAAATTCAAAGCGTAACAATTAAGGAAGGTAATCGAAACAACTGTCATTTTGTTAGTAACGGCGGAAAGTAACTACAATTCATTCTTGATTTCAATCTTTTAATAATAAGTTTAGTTTTCATGATCATTGATTTTGATTTTGTAAATTTTGTAATTTTGAAGTGCTCATATAAAGTATGGTACATTAAAGCCCTAGAGCCCTCCTGGGCTTTCTGTCAATACCAAGCCCGGATAAAGGAGGAAAGTTGTGGACAAATGGAGTTAGCGACCCCGATGCTGTAGAAAACCAACCGGCTAACAAAATGCTTACCAGAAAATAAAAGGAAGTAGTATTTATCTCTCGAATTCTAACCTCCTGAATTCCTCATCCTCTCTATCTTTCTCTGCCTAAAGTTATCTCACTGAATTATACTTCTCGGCTCATATTTTCGAACCCTAATCTTCTCCATTACTGCCTATACTTCTACTATCTCTACCACTATTTGGTTTGAACTGATAATTGCGTCTTTGTGCTGATAGGGTATGGTAACTTGAACTTATGTACTCATGAACGAAGTTCTATGTTGTAACTGACTGATTGACTGACTGACTGACCTATAGTTGATGAATAAGTAGTTGACTGTCTTACTATTAGTAGGCAGAATAATAATCACGAAAACTTACGACACATTCTTAAAGATTGTAAAATTCGACTTAATATAAAAGTAGCTTCTTTTTTCTGATGCAGATTGCGTGATGTTACAAGTAAACAAATGTCCATATCACTTCCGATTGAACCGAAACCATTTATTGAAGAACCAACAATATATAAGCCAGCACCTATTGAGATAATGCACAAAGTTATTAACGGAATAAACTTCACTGTGATTCTTTCATTTAAAACATTCAAATAAGAAAGCATCACTTAAAAAATGACACAATTTTTTTTTTATTTAAACACAAACATTGGTACAAAGAAAGGATTTGATTGTGACCGATTTGATCTCGTGTGCATTTATGGGTATGAGGGCGGATGTTACATCCCTGCTCCCTACACAGTGGAACGGTTCTGGCATCGGTTGCATGACTTCCGAAGGAACTTGGCTTTCATCATGAGACATCATAATTCTTCTAAATGAAGACCTTTTAACTCCCAGAGCAGAGATTATATGATTTGAAGTATATTTTAGCGAGTTAGTTTTTTTGCGGGACGGGCTCGCCAACTCACATCCCAACCCTCCTCCTTTATTCGGGCTTGGGACCGGCAGTAGCTCCGAAGGATCTACAGGCGGAGTTCACTTTTACTAACTCTACTACTACGGGATTTGAATTGACAATTACATCTCTGTGCTAATGTGATATGGCAAATTGAACTGATGTACTTATGTACGAAGTTCTAAGTTGCTGTTGATTGATTGACTGATTGGAACAAGGTCAAAAGATGTAGTGTCACGGTAGCCGGTCACCTAAGGCTCAAGTGCACCAGTGATTTGAAATTAAGAACTTCCATCTCCAATACGTGAATGTTTGGTATCCACTAACCCTGTTGAAGCGCCAAACACTAGTTTTCTGTCATCTTAATTTTCTAAACAACAACAATGCCATTGAGAAATACATCCCTCGTATTGGCTATCTACGCATGGCCATATGAGAGCATTTTGAGAGAGCAAACTATTCCATTGTCAGGCGTGTCAGAGCATTTACGAATCCGAGTTGTGTCGTATATATTTTACAATGGCTCTGTGCCAGTTTGTGTTTAGATAAACAAGTTAAAACATTGGGTGCCAGTAAAAGCTTAAAAGTTAATACATAATAACAAACAACCCATGCAAAGATCAATGCTTACAAAAAATATTAAACCCATCTCTATGGGTTATCTTAACACATAAATGAAGAAACTATTAGATGCAATCGACGTGAAGCTGTAAATCTACATTTTATTTCACTTGACAAACATATGACCCATTTCCCATGCACAAATCCGTTCAGTTGGTCTCAAATTACGTTCCAAGTATGAAGGCTAGTGATAATACCATGTTATCTAAACCAAAGTAGATTAGGTGGGGTTTCAGTCTATGACTGAATGGCCTGAAGTTGCATACCTCAATTCCTTAGTCACCCAGATCTATACACCAGTAAAGCGTATGGTCAACTGATGTTTCGCCTGAGATTCCAACCCGTACATCAAGTACATTTCAAATAACAAACGAATTATTAGGACAGTACTCTTATCGGTAACTCATAACTAATTCTTCCACAGTTTAGCACAAAAATATCTTTCATACTTATAATACAAAAACTTCATAGTCATTATGTAAATTGTTTAATAAGTACATGTATGTGCAGCCGGTGAAGCCTAGTGATACTAACAGCTTCCTCATATGGAACATATAAGTTTATAAGCAGTCATTAGGTATATCTAGAAAAAAGTACTCATTTGCTACATGAACATGGTGATTTAGTAGTTAAAATTTTCAACTATCGGCCTCTAAGTTGATGTTTTGAATTCCATGCCTATTTTAATCAGAGCAACAAGATAATATTGTTAGGGTTCACAGTTAATAACATGTCTCAAATACCCAAATACCTGATGAATGTGCTTGCTATTATTAAATTCAAATTCTTGTCACTTTATATAATGACCATGTATAAAAAGAAAGTACTCTTTCCAAAATAATTTCACTTACTTTCAAACACTCCTGATACAACTGTATGCAAAGCATTAAGAAGACGAACTTTCTTTTCATACTGTAATGAACTTTGTTTTGTATTATTATAAAATTCCCATATTTTTCTTGACAAGTTCTCCATGTACAATGAAGATGTTAGTGTAGAACTAGCAGGTGTAAATGATGAACTATTTATAAATGGTATTTCATTTGCATGAAATGATTCATGAGATAAAGGAGTTCCATTACACAAATATTTCTTATCAGCAATTACTTTGAATTTATTACTAGTAAATGGTGAGTTAGCAGATTTACCCTCCTGATGTTTACTACTTCGATTTCTTTTGTACATTACTGAACTAATCTGTAAGGTACAACAGAAAGGCGAATATAAAGTACTGTTGAAAATTGATGTCCACATACACAAAAGTTGGATTTAATTCATTACCACACATTCATGTCATGATTACTAAACTACTTTTCAACATGATATAAAGAGAAATGTGTAGTAGTAAACATCTCATTAAACTTTGTTTTGGTATATGATGAGATATTCAAATAGAATCAAAAAATCCATGAAGCTTTCACTAGCATTCTGGATATCATGAACATACACTTTGAGAAGAAATATATGATGTCAAAAAACGAGTGAAAGCTTTACAACTAAACCATCCAGCTCAGAGACTACAACATCTCTTAACCTCGGCTACTAATTGTCTCAATCATCATAAAAAGTCTGTTTAACTTTTGTCAACCTGGATCATTTGTAACACAGGAAAAATGTTCGGGTTATCAATATTTGAACATAGATGTCTTTGGAGCAGTGTTTCCATATCGTGAAAAAATTGAACGAGCAATATCGAGGTGGAGCATGTGGAACTAACTTAAGATGCCTTGTCAGTTGGTGAGGTTGTGAATCAGATTTTTCCCATAGAATATATCTGACCGATTTAGAATTTCAATGCTTTTTAGATTTTTATCGAAATACTTTTATAACTACTTTTCTTGTGATTTACATTTATTACCAGTTAGTTACAATGTTCAATATCTGCCGATTGATTTCTGTGCGCTTGTTTTTCGTTCTTTTGATACTGTTCCAGGTATGTCGCGATGTCTACTCAGTGGTCGCCTAGACACTGTAATGCAGTAATTGTAGTTGGTTGGTACTTGTTTGTGAGTCTGTACGTCCTGTGACCTGAATGAGTACGTCTGTTTCAAACTCCGCCTGGAGCCCCTCTAGGGCTGCTGCCGGCCGCAAGCCCGGATAAAGGAGGGTTGGTCATATAGTTTGGGACCCCATATCACCAAAAAAACTAACTCGCTAAAAGAACGCTAAGCAGAAAACATAATTCAAACTACTTTAACTCTGCCCTGGGAGTTAGGTGTTCTTTCGGAAGAATTATGACATCTCATGTTGAAAGTAGAGTTACTTAGGAAGTCACAAGGCCGACGCCTTTTCTGAAAACCAGAGCAACCATTCTTTCAGGTGCGTGGAACTTTCGAACATTCTGGAAGGCTTGAAGACTGTTCCGCATTGCTTCAGAGATGGAAAGATATAACCTCGAGGTGCTTGGAATCAGTGAAGCTCATTGAACGGAAGTTTGACAACTGAGACTAGCCTCAGGAGAGCTACTGTCATAATCCGACCATGAAGAAGAAAATGCCTTACGCACAAGGAATCGCACTGATGCTGTCCAAACAAGCACAAAATGCACTAATAGGAGGGGAATCTCATGGAGCCAGGATCATTAAAGTATGATTTAAAACAACGACATTACAATGAACATCATCCAACTCTATGCACCTACCGATGACAACAATAACGATGTTACAGATCAGTTCTGCAAAAGGCTGCAGTCAATCGTCGACAGAGGCTCACCAAAGGATTTAACGATTCTTATGGGAGACCTGAATGCCAAGGTTGGAATGGACAACACTGGATATGAAGACATCATGGGACGACATGGACTAGGAGAAAGAAACGAAAATGGTGAGAGATTTGCAAACCTATGTGCCCTCAACAAAATGGTCATCGGTGGCACCATATTTCCACACAAATGCATACACAAAGCTACATGAATTTCACCGGATCACACTACTCAGAACCAAATCGACCATATCTGTATCAAAAAAATTCAGAAGGACGATGGAGGATGTGAGAACCAAGAGAGGAGCTGATATAACCTCAGATCACCATTTGCTGATCGCCAAAATAAAACTGAAACTAAAGTAGCACTGGACAACGGGGCAGAAAACATCCCAGAAGTTTAGTTCATCCTTTCTTCAAGACACCATAAAAATCAACGAATTAAAGATAACCCTTACCAATAGGTTCCAGGCCCGGAACGATATACTCAATGAAGCAACCTTGGAGAACAATTGGGAAGGGATCATGGAGGCAATCACTTCGACATATCACGAGGTTCCGGCCCACAAGAACTACCATCACAAGGAATGGGTATCCGTTGGTACACATGCAAAAATTGCAAGAAGGAGGAAAAAGAGGGCAGCAATCAATGTCAGCCAAACAAGGGCAGAGAAAGTCAAGGAGCAGGCTGAATACACGGAAGCAAACGAGCAATCGAAGATTAACATCAAAGCTGACAAACGTAAATATGTGAAAGACCTAGGAATTACGGCGGAAAAAGCTACAAGACAAGGAAACTTAAGCACTTGTTCGATGCAACCAAGAAACTGGCTGGAAACTATCATAAACCAGAACGACCATTGAAAAGCGTGGAAGGCAAAGTAATCAGCAACACTGAAGAGCGGCGAAAAAGGTGGGTAAAGCACTTGAAGGAACTCTTGAATAGACTATCCCCACTGAACACACCCAACATCGAAGCAGCATCTACCGACCTCACAATTGATGTTGGCGCACCTACAATTGAAGACATCAGTATGGCCATAAGCTAAGTCAAGCAGGACCAGAAAACATTCCAGCAGAAGTGATGTAAGCAGACGTGGCACCAACTGCAAAAACATTCCACACTCGTAAAAAAGATCTGGGAGGAAGGAAAAGTACCAATAGACTAGAAAGAAGAAGACCTCATCAAAAAATCAAAGAAAGATGATCTCAGCAAGTGTGAGATCTGCAGAGGCACCACTCTTCCCTCAAATTGTTCAACAGGATATTGTTAAACAGAATGAAGGACTTCGTATATGCTGAATTTGAGATCAGCAGTCTGGATTTCGTAAGGATCGATCTTGCACCGACCAAATTTCAACAATACGGATCACTGTGGAATAATCAATTGGGAGAAATTCACTACTCTACACCAACTTCATTTACTACGAGGAAGCATTCGATAGTGTGGACAGAAAAACGCTATGTATGCTTCTTTGACACTACGGAGAACCTGAGATGAAAGACAACATCATACGGAAATTTATGATGGATTACACTGCAAAATCGTTCACGGAGGACAGCTGACAGACTCATTCGAGGTGAAGACCGGTGAAAAAGACAACCGGTATAGCAGCAGCCTCAGCAATAGCAGGTCTCAACATATATAAAGGGATGAGCAAGATTCTCCGATACAACACATGCGCCAACCAAATTATTCATGATGTGTAGATGAATTTTCTACCGTAGTAGTTCAATTTGTTTCCAGTAGGTGTAAGTCGAACGCTCCCTCTCCTAGTGAGCTTACTCGTACGATCAATTTTCCACGACGATGAGTGTCTTTCAACTTCCATCGATCACTATTACTCGCAGGAGTATCATCAATGCTATTATCATTAGTAGCCGCAGCTGTACAAGCAATAGTACACTTCTCATGACATCCAGTCGACTCATGCACAGTGGCTAACTCTACTCGATCAACATTGCTTTCCTTACTAGGAATGCTCTTAGCCTCTTTTATCTTATCACTGTTGGTAGTGCTCATCCCGATACCTGTAGTACAAGTCAATGATGGTGGAGTGCGACAGGTGGACAATTCCGTGCTCGATTCCTCATACTGCATACTCAACACAACATGTCCATTAAACCTAGATGACTCCTCATTGCACCTAGGGTACCGAATGTTAGCCCTCTCAGTACTGCCATCACTGTGGCTGGCGCTATTGCCACCGACGCCTACATTCTCCACGCTCAAACATCCAATTTCGTCTTGATCTGAAAGTACCCAAAGAAGCTACATTAGCAACATCAACCGAAGAAACAGCACTACCTATAGTGATTCCACTATCGTTACCATCACGTTTGTTATTCACATCAACTACGCTGTTAATAGATACATGGGGTTGCACCTAAACCTTGACGTTATTGTTGTCCACAATGATGTTCTGACTATTCACAGTTAGTGACGAGTTGCAAGATAGTTGGCATGCAGGCTTTAAAGCTATGCTACCACTTTCACCAACACTGTCAATGTTGCTATGACTACTTGGACCAGTATACAACCGTCCATCCGTTGACCGTAAACAAACATCAGCAGGACGCGCTAAGCTGCTATTATCTTCCGCTTCGATGTTATGATGCTCCATAGAACTAGATACAGTAGCCTGCAGACATCCTGATTGCTCAGCAACATGAAGTGCTGTGTCACTATTCACACTTGTTGTCCTAGGATCAACTCTAGGTCCTGTTAAATAATTTACCCTACGTGAAGGGTTCCGAACATAAGCTTTATTCCATACAACCAATCCTGTTTTGTCCTTATTCATATTCAATGTACTTACTAACCTCTGTTTGCTCGAATCCAAATAACCGTTCCTGGCTTTTCGAGCAGTTAAGAGGCTTTTAACATCACACACCTCGGATCCATCTTGATGCCTACACTTTTCGCCTTTTTCTATCTTTTCCATACTTAAAAAAGCAATCTTATCTGTTACTGGGATACGCATCAAGGGGTTTTAAATCATCGCGGTCACATACTCGGCTTTCAACGTGGTATACTTTTCTGATACAATTGACAACTCTCTTAAATTCCGGGTGTGAGTTAGGTGTAAACGAAGAATCCTCTTGTCTCGCACGCAGATCACTAATAGCGTCCGTACCATGTCCTGTTTTAGCACGATTAGCTAATCTTCCGAACCTACTACTAGCTATCTTAGCACGAGACATAATAAATTCCGTCAATTCATTGAAATTAGGTTCTCTTTCCTCTTCGTCCCACTTGATTCCCAGCTCTGCCCACTGGGCTTGCATTCGATGAGGTAAGTGTAAATTTAATTCGACAGTGGCCGTCCCAATTGTTTCCAATAGAAACACTCCTGTACGCTTTTCCTAGTTCCGGGTCCCAACCAAATCAAAAAGGGCAAATTCTAGGAGAAAACGTCTCTATATTATTAGAAAATGGAAATAAAAAGCCTTACGGAATTTGTGTTTCTTCCAGGGTTAAATTACTCCGCAGAGTATCCAACACAATAACTAGTAAGTGACACTAAGTCCAGCAGCCACCGCGTCCGTCCAAAAATGTGGCGGTAGCCATATTATATCAGATTTAAACAATATATGTACAATTCAGAAGCAAACCCAAAAACTTCAATATAAGTACAAATATAGAAAGAATAACAATATACAATGATAAAATCTCAAATTGGAATCAAATAAAATACCAAAAATGTCAAGAGAAAAAGTCCATCATGTCATAGCAAAAATATGTAAACATGGAGGGATTTTCCAAAAAACAAAACATTCAAAAAGAATTCTACAGTAAGAGCCTAACTATTCGTTCTAAAGTTACTGGAGAATTTAGTTCTGCAATACAATTTAACTGTTCCATAGTAATAGCAACGTTTTGCATTTTAATTGCTAATTCCGTCAATTTTTCTGCATCATTATAGTCCGCATTTGCAGTTCTAAACAAGTCCTCTAGAGTTTCACGGGCTATCACATGTGATTGTCCAAAGAGCTGCTTTAAAATAGTCTTAGTTCTCTTATATCCCACTTGTGGTCCCATTATAAGGCAACCTTCAATCG